TCGTGTCATATCCGTGAAGTTTGTGTTTTTAGAAAGGATTAAAATGATCCATCTACTCCCATTGTGGACTACGACGACGACGACGACGACGACGAAAACTAGAAAGGGAGCGACACCTGCGTCCGCATTCTGCTACGAAATAACTTTTGAAGAAGAAGGCAAAGTGAAGGGGCCAAAATGGGAATAGTCGTTCACCGTTCGATACCCTTGCCCCGTTCCATTCTTCATACATTCCCCGCCACGGCTACATTGGCTGGCTCCCTCGACTCCATCGACAACTGCGGTCTTCGGACGTTTACTCAATCGAAGTGCCGGACAGGGGCAATGCAACGGGAATGTTGGGACAGGCGAATGAGTGTGGGAGAGGCGGGAATCGAGATGCACAGCGACCTTCCAGTTGTTCACTCCCAATGTTCCGTGTTGGTTCATTTTCGCTGTCTCGTTCGTTCTCTCCTGCCGGTGGGTTTCCCTTTCCCTCTTCTGACGAAGCCAATGCCCGGTGTCCCTCTTCCGCCTCCGTTTGTCCTGGTCGCCTCATCTTTCCTGCACTTACACTGCCCTACCGCACACGAAGTAACTCTGCGGATCAACCGTCTGACGCGCAGACATACACACTCACACATCGGCGGCAGCCATCGACTTCATCGACTCACTACACGTGCCGTACTTGGAGCTTAGAGCCCTGTTCATATAAGCCCCGCCTATTCGACCGAGAAAGCTCCGCCTTGGCCGCTTCCACGCCTGTGTGGCTTATGCCCCGTTTGTCGCCCTCATAGCATTTCTTTTTGTCGTTTGAGACTACCGCAACGGAGCTGTTGTTGTTATGATTGCTGTTGTCGTTATCGTTGCCGCTCGTTTGTTCTGTGCTATATCTTTGTCGCGGCTTTACTCCTGGCCCAGGCTGTTCTACTTGCTGACCGTTAGCCGTACAACTTGAACTGATCAGCTAATGGTGGCACGGAGTAGGACGACGTAGCCTAAGGATGGCCTTTACATCCAGAACGTTTCGGAGCAACGTTCTGAAACGAGGTTGGCGATAACGCCTTTTTTACCGCTTAATGTTTTACAGATTGTGCAAAATGGGGACGTCGGAAAGAGGTGCCTTGTACGAAGCGTACCGCGGCTGGAGGAAACAGCGTATTCCTACAAGGGACTTAGAGAAATAGATGAACGGCTATAACGGAACAAGGGCGAGGGGAGCAGGTGTGAAGATTGAGCTTATTCTTAAATCGTAAGTATTGCCAACTCGTCGACAAAATACATGCAGTAGCGCAGAAGCAGTCACACAAATGGATACGTAGTGGTTCGTATCAACTGTGAAAACATATGAAGGCGATGTGAATAAACTAACTTCAGATGTCTTTAATACGAGACTTCAGTAAAACACGCAACGAGAATTACACATAGTACGCACTTAGCTAAGCGAACAATTCTATTATAGAAATCAGTGGCGCGGTTCTACACCTGTTTATTACTGTTGAGACTATATACTCTAACGAACATGATCAGTCAGCTATAGGAACAAAATCGTCTCAATTTTTCCCCAAAATTGTAGGAAAAATGTAATAACAGGAAAAAAATCGATAATAATACTATAATACCCTTGAGCGGAAAATACAATACGTATGAAAATAATTCTGCAAGCAATATTTAAACCGAACAGATCGGATCATAGGTCGGAAGTCCGAACCTAAGCAGATTGATGAGGTTGTCCACTTGGAAGAAGAACAGGGGAGCTAGCAGGAAAAGATAGGATTAATAACTGAACGAAAGAATAGTTGCAACGGAACAATGGGTGTCCAGGGTCATCTTGGCAAAGTGCATGGAACTTTCTTGTAGCCTTCAATTGTTATTGCTAGATTGGCTAGGTTGATATTAAACAAGTAAGTAGCAAATGACGCTCGTAGAACTTAAGGTAAGTAGATACAGAAAGTACTGCGCAACGCTTAGATTTTTCACATGAGTACGCTAACAAACTTAGAAATAGTTGACTAAATATTCAGTCACTCATCGTTACCCGTCAGAGCCGTTATCAATAATGTTCTAAAATCAAGCTGACGAGCAGAAACGCTTTATCCAATACGGTTTTTCATCATTAAGAATAGCATTATCATCTCATTGCGTTCATCTCCGGCGACAATGATTGTAGACTAGAGGTAAGCTGTGCAGTTACTGTCAATGTCCTTGCTTTTGACAGTATATGCTTTTCCACCCATGAGCGACAAAGGGGTAATGTATTTGTGTACACACATGAGTTCAGCAGGTTTGTAACAGTTATGCACGAAAGACTCGATTCGGTCAGTGAGGACCTTTGCGAGATACGCACAGGTTATGGTACGATTAGTAATGGCACCTCTCTTTGACGCAGACGAAATAGATTAGACAGGACCTATAGAGCATAGTAAACAAACATCTTCCTCAAAAATTAAGATGGCCTGCTGTTTTCTGTCACCTTAAAACGGCGATTTATGCTATGATCAAAACTATCTAGTGTTGAATGTACATAAAGAATACTCAATGCAATATACACGGGTGGTGCTACCACATATCGCTGATATATAGAGAGATGGTTCTTGCATTGTTTTCGAGTTTCGGATTCGTCAAGCTTCTGCTTTGGTCAGAGTGTCTGAATATTACGAAAACCCAAACCGATGTATTTTTTATGAGGTCTCATATAAAGATATTACAGCAGCGTGACTGATGTTTTTAAAAGGGCAATGTCTCAGTTTACCATGGGCGATCAAAGTGCGAGACTATATAGACGCCGACGCTAAATCTTCATCATCGCTCTTACCAGTTGAAGCGCAGATGAAGCGCCGCGTTGCTTCACCAGCCGTCTGTTATTGTCGCCACGATCTGAACGATACGCTGAGTTTTATGTTCGTTAATGTTTCAGATCGATCGGCCCTCGGTACCGATCACTTCAAAGCCGCGCGACAACTTTCGACAGCCGTTAACCCATAGACATGCAATCAACTTGCTTCACGAATATCTGATAGGGCCAGAACCTCTCAGAGGTTTGGCTGTCGGCAACGGCGACGAGGACATTGATCCGAAAGGCTGAGATGTAGTCGTAGTTGTAGCATCGAGGAGCCGATAATACCAGTGGAAGTAAGACCGGGGCCGAATTAGGTCCATTCCAATGGCCTACGAAGATCGCTGGTATAGCGCGTATTTCTGTGGCTGTTGCTTGACCACTGCTATGCTACTGATCAGAACCCCCGCATACCGATATACTGCCACTGTCACAAATATGTCTACTCTTCGTTGTCAATGAGGCGTGCAGTAGTTGCTCTCGGACACCACTCCTTGTCCTGCTTACTTCAGGGATCGCGATATCGTACGATTGTCATATTAGGACAAAGGCGCTGATGTAGACTATAATCGAGTAGCTAATATATGAAGACGGTTAACCCACTGCAAGCGCCTGTTTGCTAAACTTCTTCGACGCATCACCCATCACTCGTTTGTTTTTTAATCGGAGGCGGAACTCAACTTACAGAATAGAAACAGCACTTACACAACGATGCTCAAATACTCAAAATAGGGTAAGTGACGATACTTTTTCTTGATTTGTGAGCGCTTATGAACAATGAAATGTAATAGCTAAAGGAGGAGAACCTCTGTGAGTTATATCACGTTCTATGTAAGATGGAAATAAAAAATATGCTCTTGTTTTCACGAAAATGACCGTGTGTTTTAGTCAAACATTATACTTAGGTCACGAACGCACGAGTGTTATCTCTCCCATAATGACGCACGTTAAGTTCATCTGCTGTTTCACATTATGTAACGATTCTTACCTCCTCAATCCTTTGCATATATGGATATGCTCACTCATTTAAATAATATCTTCTACAGTAATATTTCCTTTTTCCTATAAAACTAGCAGCGTATAACGACTTGTCCATCGATTGACAAAGGACCATTACGAACAGCTAGTAACACGAAAAGACGGCCGACCGTAAAAATATCTAACATTTCGAGGCGAGAAAAAAATCGTTTGCACAGAGGCTGTTACGACTGTTTATACATTATGCGTCACTTGCACCCTTACGCCATCTGGAAAAATCGGCTGACTGATTTAGACACTATTGGTTAAATTACTATTGTACGCTTGTGCAAACGTTTATCGAATAACAGGTACGTTACAACATAGAAAGCAAATTGAGCTCGAAACCCCTCTCTACCGTGTCGGCACATCTTAACCTACACTTCTTAGGAGTTTATTTTTATGATCGTCGGTGTTTTTTCAATTTTATCCAAATAGCCTGCTTGCTTCCAAGTAATCAGAGGGAAGAAAAAACTACTATTTATGATATAAATATTGATAGAGTTTATTGTAATCTGTGTAGATGAACTAGAGCGGTATCCCTTCGAATGTGTTATGCGGAATTGGAACCTATGGCCACCGTATGGCCTCAGTTCCCCCTGATGTACACGGCCAGCGCCATCTCGCTCGAAGCGATAGGAACCGCTTGCTATTTTCTCTAATTCATTTCATTAGGGATTTACAGCACGATATTTTCATTCGCCTTCTATTGCATTCGTACAATGGCGAAAACGCATTCTAATTATTTCAAATCCAATAGGCGTTCAGTGCATTCTTTGTGTGGCATTTTTTTAGCTCTCTGTTTCCATAGAAGACAATGCATTATTTTCTGCTGTATCATTATTTTGACAATATAGTGCTGCTTCTAGGGGCTCGAGGGCGCGTACTTGTGTTGAGTTCAGCGAGCGTATGGGTGTAGCTGTCCTGTCAACTCCCTGTTTTATCCTCCTGCTAGCCATGGCTTCGGCCTCTTCACCTTACGGAGGAACCACTTGAGCACGTACCTCGTTAAAAGAGGACATCAAATCGAAAGGGCGTCGTGTCGCGACGCTTGCCTCGCTGTCTGCTGTCCTGAGAACGCTGTTTCTTTGAAGACTTTTCAGCGCCTTTTACGCTCATGTCCTTTCCTTCCCTCAGTGCTAGTGTTCATCATTGCATAAGCTTCTTGAAATCAAAGGGCCTACTCATCAGAATTATTCATCAGTGACTCCCTTTGCGTTCACGAAAGATGCTACGCTTCACCAGTGCGAAAATGCTAGCAATATGTTCGAGCCAAGGCACGAAGTAGAAATGAGTACGATTAAGTGATTAATTCATTCGAGGCTAATACAGAAAAAAAAAAACATTTTTCTCCTTTTTATGCAAATTTTAAACAAAAACAACTATGCACAATCGTTCCGCTATTGCTTACAAAGAAGTTCTTAATTACAAGCATGAGCGAGTTTAGTATTAGCGTAAACGAAAAAACACACCTGAGAGTAACTTTTCCTGATTAGATAATTTTCTTATTTTTATTTATGTTTTTTTGTGAATACTGTCACCACCATCATCATTGTTGTCCTAATTGGTTAATTATTTTCTCATATTATTTATTCTAGAGCGCTTTGCCTTACCATTCGCCATTAAATATAGTTACGTCTGTGTTTTTCGGGAAAACGTTTCATTGCTAGAGGAAGATTCTAAATGCTGCCCTATAGTAATTCCTTCTTTTGCTATCCTTCTTAGGCGAGCTTTACCAACCTATTATGCCGATCTAATCAATATCAGCAACAAATGCTAGTACAATGCATCACTAGGTAAAATAATTTTTAGTGAGTGAGCGACACGTGTTCGATTGTTTGGAAATTTTGGATTTATAATAGTTTAAGTATCGCTGGATTCGAGCAGAAGGGTACGCCTTATTTCCTGTAGAACATATTACCTATAGGTATATTTTTTATTGCCGTATATTTATAGGGGCACTTTTCACCCCTTATCTTCAACTCTTCCAGTTTGCTGTTCGCAACACCCCAGTGTCACCTCTCTCGTCGTCGTCAGCGTCCTCTTTCATCTTCTACCTTCAATTAGGTAGAATATTTCTCTCAACTAATGCTTCTGCATCCATCCCTGTCGGGGGTAAGGAGAAGGCGGCAAGTGATAATTTTTGTTGCTTTACATCTTTTTCATGATCGGTATTATTAGTACGACCGGAGCGTTTGTTTCTGCAGTCTTGTTTTTTGAGTGTTATCGGTCTGACTGTTATTGATAGAGTTGTTATTTTTATTCTATTCGCGCTATAGTTGTCCTCTGCCTATTGAATTAAATGAGCACCAAACATCGCGTTCGCTCGCACTTGACACATTCGCTGCTCATACGGTACAATCATTTCTCTCTCGTTACATCGATCCGATCGGATCAGTTCCGTCTAAATTTTTTTTTACCCTTTTACAGCCAAAAGCTGCAAAAAATTCGGATCTCAGTCAGCGGGCTATTCATGTTCATCGTTTCTCATCGTTGCTGCGCCAAGGGGAAAACGTTTATAACAATTATTATAAAGACAGCAATAATAATACCAATAGCGAGTAGAAACAGACACGAGAAGAAGAAACAATATCAGCCGGCGCGGCGTGTAGTTCAGCGCAATGCAGGACCTCAACAATAATTCTGCTTTTCTATATCTTGTTGTTATCACACCGAATTAAACGCACGCATGAAGTCGGTCAATGAAATACAGTCACTCACTAGCTAAAGTACTACTACCCCATCTGATCAACATCTGATCGAATCTTGCTATCTATGGAGCATATATGTCTTCGATAAACACGGATCCGCTCCAAAGATCTAATGCTCATTAACTAAATGCCCATGGTGGTTTAAATATAGAGCCAATATGTTCAACGGTGACGAGCGTGACATGATCGATAACATGGAAGAGAGTCGTATCGCCTACGATCATTGGATAGTGGTGCACGTACGAGTCCAGACTTATTCATATCGTCATTTCAGTAGAATTTAAATACGCATATTCTCAAATACACTCTACAATGATTTCTTATAATTGTCAGCGCTCCATATCGTTTAGTCAGACGCGACAAGGTCGGACACAGTGTCCTGACCGTTTCTTCAAGGTCAAATTGACGTAATCCATCTATGAGGAACTGTTGCGGATTTGGAGCCAGTTTGCTTTTTGTACCATAGAAATGTCCATGTTCTCTTCGTATGTTTCTAGTGTATTACTGTAGTAATAGTATCATTATTTTCTGCTACTACGTCTAAGACGGTAAGTGTGTGTTCCTAAAAACATTGTCCTTTACCATCTGTTGTTGTGGTCGCAATACGCCGCCTGGATATCTCTTCCACAATTGCTAACCGCTTGCTTCCAGTCAGTTGCAGCCACGGTCCTTCCGTGACTGTAATTAACTGAAAATCTCCTTCCAAATAATACCGCTCTGTTTCGTCGTTTCTGTTCGATTATTTGGGGGCGTCCATTTTCTCCCCCTCGCTTGAAAGCTATCTGCGCAAGACATCAAGCATAGCTTGATATAAATTATCAGCGGAAAACCTTCTCCTGGGACATAGGTTGCATTTAAATTTGACTGATTCGTATATTAATTGTCCGTAGCAGTTAATCATCAATAGTCGGTTCTGTGATGAAGTAGTCACTTCGCCACCGTTAATGACATCCGCAGGCTATAATCACAGCGTTAGATCGGTCTATTAAATTGCTTCTTAAAAAGTAAGAAACTGAGGAAATCGTGCTAATATTCTCAATATCCAAGTAAGATTATCGCACATTTAGATGAGGTCAAGTTCGTATGCTAGCTTTTATGTTGTAGTCCTTTCTTTCAAAATACTTTACTGTTTCTTTATTCACAACATAGTACAGATCCCTCTACGAGCCTTTCTCATAACGGAAACAGCATCAGAGCCGGCGATTTCTATTCCATTTGTTTTTTTTTTTTTTTTTTTTTTGCTTGGCCTTTCTTTCGGCTTTTTCGCTGTTTATTTTTCGTATCGATATGGCCGCCTCAGTGTGCTTTACGTCCGATTACTTGTTGTCTTCTAATCCAACACATAGAACCTTCGCAAACCCTTCATGACCCGCATGATGCCATTCCAAGGCCTTGATGAAGAACGCTGATTAACTCTGAAGTAAGATCTAAATTTATTCAATACACCCTTCGTAACGTTATTCATTAGCCCATTTATCTTGGTTCATCATCGATTCATGGCGAAGGCTATCAACTTCGCATGATCATCTTTCATATAGAAACCCTTCATTTAATTTCCCACACGTACATTCGTCTCACTCCTAATCTCACTCATGTGCTTTACCACCTGAATCCGCAAAAACTTCATATGTACGTAACATTTTATCATCGCAATTGGATAACACTAATACAGTAGCAGGCTGGGTTATTATTCCCAGGTTTTGACGTTTCTGGCTACATAGGTAGTTTGATAATATTGTTACTGTTGTGTGGAAGTGAAGAGGCTATGGTTACCACCATGAGTATTGTAGGGTTCCTTATGTCATTGCCTATCCATGGGCGTCCCTTGGAGGTTTTATTGTATAATGAAATATTGACATATGGTGCGTACATAATTAATTAATACATCGCGTACTTTTCTCCTTACTTATTTATCAATATAAAAAAAGCATGTAGCAACAAGAGGGCCCATTGTCGCAGGCGTCGGCTAAACACGGCACAGATATAACGTGAATTTTATATATATATATATATATATATATTGGAGAGAAGTCGCTTCGTCCATTCCATATATGTATAATGTATTTACAGATTTCTCCGACACAACATACTTCCCAGGCGCGTTAAGTACCCTAGCAATTGCCTGCACATTTTTAGTTCGCACGCTTACAGAGTTCGCGTACTAGCATGCAAGTATAGGCGCCAGATGGCTATCTTGGATTCGGTCTGGTGTACGTATTTAGAATAACATAGTAGATCTGCACACAGGCTGCCATATGCATCTGTCACCACTGGATTTCGCGGAACGCTTCTGTCGTGTTCGGTATCGGCGATAGTGTTTCTTTAGACTGTTAACTGTGTGCCTCCTTAGCCAAAAAACGGTTCAAGTTTTGTTTACAAACTTCTATCGTTACTCAACGCGAATTCACGTGCACAGGAAGCACCGAATGCAGGGCAAGCCTGAAACATTTAGCTCATTCGCGGCTTATGGCATAATAGTAATCTAACTTTTATCAATCTTTGCTTTCGTGCACACACCCGTTCATTCAGCTCTTCATCATAGCTTCCTCGCTCATCTGCCACTGAAGTTTCGATTCGATGTTCTTGTAGTTGTTTCAGGAAGTCGATACTGCTTAGGTAAGAAGCTACGCAGTAACTAATGCGAGAAGACTCTCTAAAGCGGCGCTCAGGAACATTGTACAAGTCGAGCAGCAGGGGGGCAATCCTTTAAACGCTCAACGTGTGTAATCTTAGATCATAGATTGCATTGATTGTATCAATCAATTGTGGGAAAATCATTGACGAAGTCACCAACTGGCTACACTAGATTCTTCGTGCCGTATAACGAGCTCAGAGATATGTCAGAATTGTACGAGTAAGAACTAACTAAATGCACCATCGGTGTAATTTTCTAGCATTAATAATCTTCATCGCGCATCATATTTTTATAATCATTGCCACAACTACACCGCTATCAGTATCATAGGATATTTATTTACGTCGCTCAGACACAGAGAAGACCAATATACATGATCACACGTTTATAGATTATTAGTGCTAGTTCTGTTAGTTCATGCTGATTGACACCGCTCTTACCTCGTTGTCTAAATAGCTCTATTACATTCGTACCTATGCGACCACCCTGTCGCTTAGAGGCTGCTCGTGGACACGTAAATCTGTCCATCGTAGTTACACAGTAATATTAATGGCAATATATAATAATATGGTCATATTTAAATTGTATCTCATACTAGTAATGGCTGTGTGTAATTAAGCTCAATGCTGTAGGACTGTTAGAATTTCACATCCATCTCTGACGGTGGTAGGGGCATTGTTTGGTTTTAGAGATCTGGTTAGCTAAGTCTCGTCGGCTCTCGTGTTATGCCAGGCGCAGATACTGCTGGTCGTTCAAAAGTGTGTGATATTGGATTTGGTCAGTGGATCAGTCTAATGTGAAAAACGTGAGGACGGATAAAGGTGTCTTAATGATCATGACTTGATCATTTATTGCATTGAACCTTTTGATTGTCTTCGCAATTCGTGGGGCTACGAATGGAAACACCAATGATTGTCCGCTAATAGATATCGATACTCTGTCTTACATGTGTACAATGTGTAGATGAGGAAAGGAAGGTATCAAGGCTTTCAATGAGAGCTAGAGGTAGTTCGGTGGCTATCTGCTCTATGGTGTTATCGAACCGGGCTTCATCGCCTTTTGCTGTTTACTTCTGTCACTACAATTCGTTACTTTCTCGTTTTGGATAGCAAAACAAGCTTTGCTTTCTTTTTTTTTTTTGTCATTGTTAGTGAACTGTACAAGCGACAACACGTTTAAGTATTACTTAATCGATTCATCGACGCACTTCCCTTCAACTTACCCATCCTGCTTCTTCATTCATACATGGGCTCATGTAGAGGTACAATTGCCCCTTAAGCTTTATGTGTCTTCACCATAGACTGAATATAAGTATTGTATAGTGTGCTGAATATATTTCTGTTTATTTTTGCTTTTTAGGTATGCTATGAAGATCAAGTATCGTTCCTTTTAGTCTGAGTCGAAATTAAAGCCAGGTCCTTTGACTCGAATAGTCGTCCTGTTTTTAGCGTCACCCCAAGGATCGTCTTCCCAAGTGGGAACAGCCTGTTGGGGTGGAGCGGCCGGAAGAGCTGCTTGCTGCCTTGTCTCTTCAATCCCAAAAGATGTGTTCTGTTGCAGCTTGTCTTGTCCGAGTTGGTGATGATTGTCGACACCTTCACACGCCCGATAATTATGTTGACGTTTTCCACCGGGAACCTCAGTCATCGCCATATTCTCACCCTCCTTGGTATTATAGACGTTCTTAAGTCGCCAGAGTAGTGGCACATATGCGAGATTGGTAATGGCAATGAAGATATTGAGAGGTGTGAAACCAATTGACTCAACGATGCCGCCAGCAATCACGGGACCGATTGCATAGGCCATCGAATACGAGATATCGGCAATTGCGTAGATCGAGCCGTACACTGACACGTAGCGGTAGTCGACGAGGAAGCCGAGTGTCGGCAATAGAGATGTATCAACCATGGCTATACCAAAGCAGATTCCGCTCAGTGGGAAAAACAGGAACCAATACGATTGCGCAAACGGAACGACGAAACTGCTGAGGCCTTCGAGCGCCAGACCAAACGCAGCCATCATCCATTGGTACTGCGGATAGCGTTCGGCAGCAATCACAGTGATATAGACACCTAGAACATGTGGGATGAAGGCTGGCAACCAAATCAAGCCGATCTGCCAGTCTTCTGTGTGCAGGTTATCCTTCATCCAGATGGCGATAGTGGGCTCAAGGAAGGCCAGGGATACGTTGGACATCATGAGTGCGCCGGCACAGACAGCGATGAATGGGTCCATCAAAAGTACGTGGATGGGTGTACCCTTCGGTCGCTCCATGCCCATATCTTTCATTTGCTGCTTCACAGGACGCATCACGAACAGGAGAAGAATACCATCGAAGAGGCAGACAAGTGACAAGATAATGAAAGGTACCTCCTTTCCCGCAAACTCGAATAAAAGCCCTCCAAAAGGCGGTGCAACGAGACACCCGAACGATATAAACGCCAGTGCTATACCAAGCGCTCGTGACCGTTCTGCCTCCTCTGTGAAACGATCGGCGATCATGGCCAGGCCGCCCGTGTCGGCAAACGCCGATCCAACACCTTGCAAGGAGCGCGCAAAGAACAGCACACCGTATGACTGACCACAAGCGAATATCGCCGTTGAAAGAAACATTATCGTCAATCCAAACATCATCGGAAGATCGTAACCGATGCGATCTATAACGGCCCCTGAGAACGGGTTGATGAGCAGTTGTACCATTGCCTTTGAGGCAAATAACACCCCGACAGCGCTTTCTTCACCCTCGTATACTACTCGTCCACCGACTCGGGTCCAGATGCGCTCCATACGTCCTGTTGTGTTGACGGTCACCACGCTCATGTTGCCGCCTTCCTGGTGCGTTTTCCAGGAATTGATATCTCGAAGGTATTGTGGTATAATCGGTACAATCACCATGTACAGCATGTTGTCGAGCAGCAGGGCGATACAGACAATGATGAGAATGAGCTTCTTCTGCTTGACCGGATCTTCGGCTTTCTCCATGAAGCGGTTCCATAATGTGGCAGTGTCGGTGTTTAGCACCGGTATGGGAATAGCGGGTACCGGCATTGTGAAAATGATTTGAGGCTGCGACTGTTTCAGGTGTTGTTGTTGACGTCGTTGCTGTCTGCGTGGTAGACAGTTTCACAGGTCGGCGACTCGTTTCCGACCGGATTTGTTGTTGTGACAGCGGGCTGAAGTCAACTGGACACGAGTAGGCGTCGTTTCGTCTGCAAGAAAGGAGTGAACATAGGGCTTTCAGATGCTTGCTTGCGATGCTTGTGCGCTCAGCTCCTCCCGAGAGGAGGCTGAGGCAGCCTCACCCTGAATTCACACCACTACACAGTGCTCTCGGTTTCCCGTCGCGGGGAGAGCGAATTGAGCAAGCGAGCAAGCATCTCTGAAGCTTATATCCCTCCTGCTCTGCAGCATTGCAGACTGGCCAGGTATGAGGCCCAGGCCCTGCCCCGTGCCCCGGAACTGGACTTGCTCAGGGCAGACCTCAGGACAACTCGGCCGCGCCCGCTAACGCGTCGCCGCTGCCAAAGCGCCGCCGGCTGCGCGTCATCCGGCCGGGAGATGCGGCACGCAGTGAATTCAGGGTGTCGACTCTCCCCAGCCTCTCCAGCTCACCACTGGTGGGCACGGGAAACAAACAAAAATCAATTTGCTTTTGTGCTATGCTATTTTTATTGTTGCATTATATTAGAAGTGACGAAAAGACTGTGCGGATAATCTAACAATTAAAACATGGAATAAGTTTGTGCATGGTTGGTAAATAAAGAGCGAGCTGCCAAAGCCGAAACTAGCTCACACCCTCATAGTACGTGCTAAAGACCTTGACAAACCTCCAATATGGCAATCAATTTAATTAAACTTTGTACATAGGCTCTACAGGGTCGTATTGTGTCGCGGCGCCTTGAGTGCGTCATCAATTTCATCATCGGTTCGTCATCAAAAGCAAACCTTTTGTTTAAATTAAATGTCTTGAAATAAATAATCTACTTAGGCATAATACGTATGGATCAAACGTTTAAGGTGTAGACACTGTGAAGTAGCTGATTTCTTCACCATCCAACTAAGCAACGCCATCGTTGAGAACAACTCTTACTAAAATAAATAGTCCTTTGTGCATTACCCAGCTCTACGCTCATTAATAGTCTTCAATGCCTTTTAAGTTTCATCAAGGGATATACTTAAAACACAGTAACGAACGATGCCCATTACGGCACTATTCCAAACGGAGTCAAAGATCTCACTTGTTTCCCTCGCCGATTTAATTAGATCAAATAAATAATTCAGCGAGCTAAGCCGACACAGTCTCACAACTTTTGAACATTTTGCCATCACCCCACTTCTCCCATACGGAAAGGCAGTAGACAAACAGACACTGCCAGCAGGTTGGTAAAAGGTAAGCAAAATAGCAACGGTAACCGTAATATTGTCTTTTTGGGAATACTGTTTCACCAAAATCATTTGCGTACGCCAAGTGAATAGAAACCCATAGCCTAGGTTACGGAGCAATAATCAAGAGTAGGCAATTCTCGCAGAAAAGTTTGCCCTATTAACATTTCTTGGCTTTCCATTTGTACTACCGACGACCAAAGCTTACATTGCTACTGTAAAACTGCACGTCGGGATCGCATATCATATATAGATCGCGTGTAGATATAGCTTATCGCATGGTTGCTTGGGATAAGTGTGCTTGAACTTACATACTAAATATCGCCCTTCCAAGCTGCCAGCATTGTTCATCGTATCGCATATATATATAATACACCCAGACCTATATGTATGTACATCTGTGCTATCCTAGACCGATGTTACTTGCCTAAAAGTGGTGGCAGTAATGTCCTGAAGTACGACCTGGGTATAATAATGTCTGTGGTGAGGCCTACAAAAGCAGCCGTAGAGTCTGCTGAGGGAGACGACTGTGCCGGGGTCAGGTGTTCTCGCCTCGTCCGACGCGAGTACCTAGTTCTCGGCGGGGTTTAGGTGATGCCCCCTTTTGCCTTCCACTTCACTCGCTTGGTTGGGCGTTATGTACACAAGAAATATGCACCCCCGCTCGCGCTGCTGAGACTATTCAGCCAGCTAAGTTTTCCTAGTGGCGCGCATCTTCTTCCCCGTTACCACTCAGCAATCCTAGACCGTCCTAGTTTTCCCATCATCTACAGTCGCATAGAATGCCTCAGCACTCACCTCAGAGACACAAGCACAGATGCCCACAGCCAGGCATTCCGATAGAGGCGAATTATTGGTTGAGCAGTAGCAGACTTACGTGGGGTACAAGCTTACCAGAGAACGGACCACGGGGGGTGAAAAGAAGGCTCAGCTGGTTCAGTTCCCACTTTGTTCTTGGGGGAGACTGAAGACGAGGATAGGGCACTATGCTAGCATGATATCCCAAGGGAAAGGAAAAACCCGCTCCCCTTAGTCCCGGATCTTGGTTGCTGGCCAGCAGGCAGATGGCAAACGAACACTCTTCACTTTAACCTAAGTCTGAAGAGTGCGAGCGGCCATCAACCGGATGGGGGGCAGCAGCAGAGAAGAGTTCTGGGGAAAGTGATAGGAAGAGAGAACAGGCCACCTCATTACGATACAAATTATTTTCCTTATTTATTAGCCGCTTCACTCGGGGCGAAGCTCCGTACAGCTAATAGCCAATCTCTCAGTAGCGGCTAAAGAGCGAGGGCCAGCGCAGGGCATGGTGCGTGGCGTGTGAATAGCGCGTGGTGTGTATCAGCTTAGAAGCTACTAATAGGTTTTAGGCGGAATTTTCAAAAGGAGAAAACTAGACTCCATGTGCAGCAAAAGAAACTGCTTCGTTGTTAAGAACGAGAAGATTATTTGCTTTAGCAATAATTGCTCGCATTTACCCATATCGAACGGTACATAACGTGGATGGATGAAGCAATCACGCACAATAGCTCGGCACGCGAATAAATTGACTGCTATTAGGAACAGCTCTTTTTACGATCGTGCTTCTGTGCGCTTCTCTGGAGTTGTTAGAACATCATAATCCCAAAAGGGAAATACATCCGGAAAATGATTGGCCTCCTTCGCCTAAACTTTGATGATTCAGCTTTTTCCATAACACATCTGCATAATCAAAGATCAATATCGATCCCGTTTATTATCCTGGTGTACAGGAAAGGGCAGGTTCCTTACAGCTAACATAGTGGAGGTCTTGTAAACACAAAGCAGAAGAAATCGGTATAGGTATGAGGAAAGAACCCTGTAGTTGTTTTCAATTCCTACCTTGCTTAGCTTCACTGGCTTGGTAACGACCTCACGTTCCTTTATGTGGCAAACGAAATAGGGATGGTCGTTCGTTATTACAACCCGACGAGGGAACTGCAGAGGACTGGATCGGCGGAAACCGACGAGCTTCAAGGGAACAGACAGACCCGTTTTACCAGAGGGAGTCTCTTCGTGTTTACGGATATGCCGCACACGTTTCTCATAAAATGACACGAAACCATCGACAGAACCTTTTGTTTTTCATCTGCTTTGCAATATTTTCATTCATTGGTCTTTCAGCCTCTGTCATTCAGTTATTCAGCCTCCAACACGAAACATAGGCACCCATTCAGAAAGTTAAAGTAACGGAGTAGGAAGTTCGAGAGAATATTTTGTGATGTGGCTGAAAACAGCGTGTTCTAGGCGTCGTTGAAAGACTGACATGTATCTCCATCAACTTCCACAGCAACCCTTAAGCGTATATCATAGTTTAAGATAAATATATATTTTTTTCGGAATATTAAAGGCATCAGTTTGGAGGGGTTGACACACTGAAAAAATAGCTTGGATTGCCTGTAAAATACTTAATCTTAGAAATTCCGGAATCGTCAGACAGCAGTGACCATTGTCGTCAAATGTAAATGATTACTGATTTAATTGCGTTCTCTCTAGCTAATGTTGGGTCGTTAAATTACGTCTGTAAAATCTGTGAGGCATGGAACTATAGAGATCATCGCACTTTATTTATCTATTAAGATCTAGTCCTACGCATGGTCATGTTTCGGTGATGGGAATGCCTCCATATTACAAATGAAGCCAGCGCATCGATCGTTACAAAAAAGTTCCTTTGTTTTCACTGTAATACTGTTGTAAGTAATTATTAATTGAGTTAGGTGTAAACAATGATGTCGAAATCTTCACGTCAATCTCTCTTTTAGCGTGTTAGTCCACTTAAGTTTTAGCGGTCTCGAGATTGTAGGCCAGTTGCTCCATCGTAGCGCAGTTCAAGCTTAAGGCTATATCTAGTTGGAGTGAACGAGAAGCCTGCATTTTACGACACGGAACATCCCATGCTGGCAGAGTTCACATGTGGGTTTCGTTTAGAGGCACGTTGGAGAACCCCATATGACCGTCATTGAAACTCCGGGGAGAAAAAGGGGTGGGCTTATAGAAGGTGCAACGCTCGTAAAGACAAGTACTCGTAGCACCACCACCAGTATAGTAACTGTGCGATTCGTTGGGTTTATACGTCGAACGCGCCGGCGCCGCCAGCGGCCATCATCGCAACGGTTACAGCTGGTCTGAGCTGCCCACATGGGAAGCACATAGCGAACTGCGTACGGAGAAACGTGTCCCAGAGCACGCGGTCGGTGCCCGTAAGACTATATCCTTCTATTGGCTAACTCAACCACCGTCCTACACACAAGCATATTGTACAACAAAACAGGCGGAAGGACCCTTAGACGGTTAAGAGCTAACTTTGCAATTTGCCCAGTTGTTGGCCACAACAAAATGGCAAAGGGAGAATAAAGGCCGAGTGCAGCAAAGAAAATAGAGTACCAAATCTTCTAAACGTAGCGAATTCATACGTGGATGCGTGGACGCTAGTTTGAGCTAAAGCTAGCCTGCAACTGTTCTTTATGCGATCTAATTACAAAAACACTATCGAGTCAGCCGTTTGAATAAATGGGCCTAGTTTCAGTGGCTTCTCAAGCCCGGCCGATTTCCGTACGTTTGGCAACGGGAGAAACATTAGTAGCTTGTAGTTTGGCAGATTGTTCCACTCACTATACAAAACGACTCGGTTATTATTTGAATTTTTGAGAATATAAATACACGCCAAGAAGACTGCACGATAACCATGCGTATCTTCAGCACGCGGATCATGTGCTACTTTGTCTAGCCAGTACAAATAATAAAGTCGAAAAAAATAGCTATTTCGCTGCGTCGGTTTTCGAATTTCAGACATAACACTGTTCTGCTCGTA